CAGACACAGAGAGTCATCGAGCGTCGCTTTGCACTACTCTGGTGTCTCCGTCATGCATGCATTCATGCGCACCTGCGCTGCAAAAGGACACGTGCCGCTGAAAACTGTCTTGCAACCGCACTTGATTTGAGTGATGGCGAGCTTTAAGTCTGAAGATTACAGCACCTAAGCTTTAAGCTCTCAGCATCCACAGCCGTTCAGGGGTTGTGAAATGGGGAAAAACTATTCTAACACCAACCAAAATGAAGTACCTGAAAACACGTAAAAACGTGACATTTTGTAATCGACTTGGTTCCTTCCTCAGGGGGGCCTGTGGTGACGCTGCAGCGGTGTCTTAAAGGTACTCGTGTGGCTGTTAGTGACCTCACGTTTTGCCGTAGAGCGTTGTCTGTGTGCAGAGTTCCGAGGGAAGGGTTGACGTTGTGGGGTCTCGAATTGACGAGCGAGCGCCACCACCACGCCCTTGGAGTGAACGGGCACAGCAGACGCAGCTGGAACAAATCAAACGAACTCACGTACATTTATTTAACTATTTCAAAAATGATATATTCAGCCAAATCATTTAACATCAACTGTGATCCACACGTTAAACAGCCTTACACAAAATTACCATACGCTCAAGCAACGTAACACAATAGCACACAAAAGGCGGCGTTGCAAACGCTACTCTCACCACGTAGGCCTACCTTAGGCAGCCTGCGGTGCTGTCCACGGCAGGCCCACCTCGAGAGACAACCGTTTGAGCCAAACGCCACCAGCTGAAGAGACTCGCTCAACTCTCTCCCCGCCACCAAGGCTTGCTTTTCGCCAGGGGTCACCGCCGGCGCTACTGTTCTACCAACCATGATAATGATAGTGGTGATCACCGCTCGCGAACACAATGCCACCTAACACTCAATAGTTGTCACCCCCTGAAATACGGCTTCTGTGCGAAACGAATGCGCCACGCTGCGCAAGAAACTTTACAGGGGGTTTCAACACCCCCCCAATGTTTTGAGTTGATGCTGTAAATGACACGGCTCCAGTAATAGTTTTCTCCAGTTAGTCTCACGTGAGTTCTAGAATGGTCGTTTTGTTGAAATATAACTTTTGGTCAAACGTCTCAGAATGTTCGGCGATGGCGCTGCGCTATTTTCCGGACGTCGCTGATGTGTTGTTCGAGTCGTTCAGGTAGGTTTTTGGTCATGCCAATACACTGTGTGTACTCGCGTAATGAACCCACCCCTCCATCTTGGCTCATGAAAAAAAAATGCTTCTTTTTAATGCATCTGTTCATTTTATTTCGGCAAGATAGCTACTGTCATTGACGGTCGAAACATTATTAAATCATGCGAATATATTGCATAATAATGACACAATAAAAGTCAAAACATAGTTTAGCAACCATGCTAAACAGTTGCGAGCAGCGTGAAAGTGAATGACAATGATCAAAGTTTAAAGCAGAGTGTCACCTGTCGAATGTTAGAAGAAGCCTTATTGCTTAGAGCTCCACGCAAGCACAGCGGCGCGAAAACTATGCAAAAAGCAAAGTGCAACCAATGGCGCAACTGCACCCTCTACGCTGACGGCGTGACATGCACCCACATCGTGTGTGCACCGCCTTTTCATGATGCGCTTTTGTTGTCGGGTTCATCGTAGTAAGCTTCGTTGGACACTTGCCGTACAGGGCACAATCGGCCGGTAGGCTAGCTACACGGCCAGGTTTAAGCTTCACCAAGCATGCGCTGGAGCTTGGGAACCGTGCAGCTAGACGACATTTTGGTGTTAATCCGTGCGGGTTTGTTACGGGAGCAAACAAGAGCTTCAGACGACGAAAACGATTCGTTGCGTATTTCGCGGGCCAGAGTAAGGATAGTTTCTCTTTGTGGAGAGCAAAGTTAACGAATAGAGGCTCTGTACTCCTGCCACTGAATTGAAGGCCAGCAGCCATTGGACAGTGAGCTTCTTAATACCGTGAAGTGAAATATTTGCTGTTGTAACCCCTGTGACTTTTTAAATGCAAAGCATTTCTGAGCAAATTTCGGCGAGTTTGACCGTATCTTATCTATTTATCTATCTTTCTAGCTGCCTACCACTTTCAGTTCTCCTGGCCCTTTGGATTATGTGGAATATGGGATCTATACCAAAATTATTATGGCATAACATGATTCTATGACGAGCACAAGTCATTAGTCATAATATGAAAATTATGACATTTATGTCATGATTTACATGTCATGGTCTTGCTACTCCTGCTCTTGTTTCGTTCACATGACATTGCAAAACTGGTATGGTACGACACCACTGTATAGTGAACATAAGTGACAGGCGCTCACGTGGAGATCATAATATGTGTGTCATGTATGAACATGACTACATACCATGCTCATTATGCACTCGCGGCCATTTTGCTAGCTTCACATATATCAAATTTTGTATTACGCGACGTCAATGGATGACAAAGGTATTGTGGGGCAGCACATGCGCCCAGCCACCTTTTGTTTTTTTACGGCAGCATGACAGCCCAGTTGTGGGGACATGGCTGCCCCTTCGAGACACGAGTCAATAAAGCCTCTTGCGAAGAGATGGAACGCCCCCGCAGCTGGCGCTCGCGATCCGCCTTTCCCGGCGCACGGAACAGGTTTCCCCTCCCTCAGGGAAGGAATGTATTCCTGTCAGGAAAAGGAAGCCGGGACAGTGAAGAAAACCAGCATGCTGATGACCGGATGGTCTTTCTGGCACCGTCGATGAAAGAAAAAGGTCATGCCCGGAACCCTTTGCGAGCCAAAGACGACAATGACCAAACTGTAAGCATCTACCCTGGTTTTCTGTAGTCTCTCTATGCGACATTCACGCATTAATGCTAATGCATAGCAACAAAGTGTTGTTTCTGACCTAGCCTGTTGCCTTATTCGCCCGAACCCGTGTAGCTGCGATGAGACAAGCTACGGATAGGGGACGTTAATCGTGCACGCTACTACTGTGTGCGGCTGGAACATTAGCTGGGCTTGCATAGAACAGACCCATACATCTGGTGCTCATCTTAACTAATTTACAAACGCGGCTAGTTTCATGGATGGAAGCAACTACCGACGCTCCTCCACACGTAGGACAACAGGGATGTTGGAATTCCTAGATTTGTCAATGTTATCTGATCTCGCGTCGCAGAGTGGCGATCCTTTGGCTTATGCGGGGGCACTGTTAGGACTTTCCGACAGCGTAGCTTTCGGTCGTCTAACGTGGGACGACCAGGAGAGTGAAGAGACCGCGCTACCAGAGGTTAGGCCTACGACAGAAAGCGTCGCGCATGGCACTCTGTCACCTCGCGACGCGAACAGAGAGGCGCCGCAACTGTAGGCGAGTCTGCGGGCAACCGCTTGCCCGCAAGCGAGATACTCTTACGGTATGCGCTGTCGGTTACGCAAAGCGTGGCGAGCGCTGTGCAATCGCAAACACAGCGCAGGTCCCCGTGTAAAATGTTCGACCACGTGTCAAGGTAGACATGCCTACCTACACTGGTTACCATGACTGTAAGAGCGCCAACCAGAGTCTTGACTGGTTACTCCATTATCATTACACGACGGGGCTTTCTGATGCCAAACTTCTCGAGTGCGTGATCCTGGAGTCACTCACGAAACAAGCAGCTCGAGCTAACCGGACATCTTGCCCACACGATAGAAGAGTTCCGCGCCGAATTTCTAACGGCTAATTATGAGTGGTGCTTGTGGTGGCAATTGGAGCTGCGCGCCCAGCATCCGTACAAATCCTTGCTGGAGTATTTACAGGCAATGAATGAACTGTATCCTCTCGCTAACCCTCACGCCACCAACGCAGAAATAGTCGAGCGCGTTACGCAATAAGCGCACCCGACTCTTGCGGCATACTTCAGGGGATGCAAGTTCGCAGACCTAGAAGAGCTCGCCACCGAGGCAAAGCGCATATAAGGGGACATCCTCGCTGCATGTGCGTATCGCCCAATTCCACCCGCAGCGCATTCAATCGAGCCTCGCTGTGCGTGGAATGACGGCGCAGTAGCCTCAGAAGCGTTTTGGGGTAACGCATCAGCATTGTTCGCTGATGAGCACGTACCACGCGGTTGGAAGCGGTCAGGCCGCGCTTTGGAGCCCTTCGCTTACGCGCTCCGTACGGCTCACGCCGCCTCCGCGCGTGACATTCTACAGCAGGAGCCTGCCATCGACACGAGGTCAAACAAGTGGCGCAAGCCAGAGCGAGGGCCACCTGATCGAGGCGACTTACGATTGAGCCAGCGTGGTTTCCGGGGTTCTTGCTATCGGTGCGGCAACATGGGGCACATCCCCTGCGAATGCGACCACACACCGGGTCAGGAGCAAGTGCGCAGTTCGGGAAACGGACAGTGCCGCCAGTGAACCACATCGGACACCGCACCGTCAGCCTTGCACCGGATCACTTGCACCGTCAGCCTGTCGTGCAAGTGATGCCGTAGAATCGCCCGCACCACTAATCCAGTTAACGATAGCTCGAAAGAAGTTCATAGCACTTTTGGATACAGGGTCAAGCGCTCCTTTATTCAGCAACTGTGTGCTTCATCATCTCCGCGAGAAGAAATATCCGCTTGAGATAAAGCAACACTATGTTCCGCCTTGCTACGGGCCTAGCACAATCGAGCGGCATGGCTAGGCTAGTGATTCGCTGGGAAAGACGCTTGACGCAACAACGTTTTGTGCATCTTCTTGGGCTGTCAATGTCTCTAATCCTGAGTTGAGACTTCCTCGCCAAGTCGGGTATTGTCATTGACATTGCAAAGGACGGTTACCGAGAGCGCGACGGAGACGCGCTAAAGCTTTTCTCGAAGGCCCCCGCATTCGTATTCGAAGGCCCCCACACTTCGTAATACGAGAGTATAATACGAGTGAATAATACGAGTGAATAATACGAGTTACAGTGGTACCAATGAGCAGATTAAGTTTGTTCCCCTCAAGAGCATGTAGTTCTAAGAAGGCTGCTTTTCAAAAGTCCATTAAGTACACCCATAACACAAGTGTTGCTCTACTATATTTTATTAAAAATATATTTACACTTGAAAAGGGTAATCTGCCAGCTTTGGCTGGCTATAAATCCGGGATATAAATTCCGGATATAAATTCTCATGGTACCTTGATCCACACCACAGATGTCTGTATTGTTGAGGGCAGCCAAGTGATGCAGGTAATCTATAACAAAATAAAAAATTTCGTGGTCCATGCAGATCGCGACTGCAAATATCAATCTTTAAAAAAGGCTGCTTAATGCCAATTCGGGAGAAGCAGTGCACGCTAGGACATACATATCAAGCGAATGAACTTTTACACCTCTACAGCGCCATTAGTTCTTTCAGCAAACAAGAATTAAGCAGTGTGTTAATACTTTATTACATAGAGACAAAGGAGCATGGCCTACAGCAACGGGCATGCAAATGCAAATTCATTATCATCGCAAACACCAATGTATGACGGCGGTGAGCTTAATAAAGCACAGAAACATTCGGGATATGCACGGTTTACTTATATTTGAAAAAAATATGCAACTTACCTGCATGGAAGATCGAGCATAGAGAAACACGTTGGGCCTCGATATGCACTCACGAAATCAAGACACTCATAGCCCAGCACCAAAAACAGCTGAAATAGGCGGATATTCACTTGTTACACTTTCTACAGATGAAACTGTCACAAAAATATACTATTACATGCTAATGTCATGCAGACTCCCCAGAAAGCTTGCAACACAACGAACACACAAATGCAAAGACAGTCAAGTCAGGACAAGGGCACAAAATGTGTTGTACTTAACTATGGCGCTAAGGCGTGATGATAATTTATACATTATATAGGACTGCTATTTCTTATGCTTTTACCTGTAAATAAATAATACAACTTTTTTGTTATGAAGTATTTATATTATATTGTAGGTAACTATTTAGTATTAGTTTGAAAAAACGTCAATAATAGATGCGAGACTAATGCTACGGAGAAGTCTGCGATTATGGCGGCAAATTCAATGCTTGGCAATGCTGGGCGCCGCACAAGACGTAGCAATGCGGCTTTTTTATCGCAGCTTTAGCCTCTCTAGCAGTGTCGTAGCAGACGAGAGCAAGCTCACTGCGGTCTCATTGTAACAGAGATTAGAGGATGGTCAAAACAAAAACGCTCTTTTCAGGGCGAAATTATGCCAGTACAGAAAACCACCAAGCACCCTGCTGGAACCAGTACATGCAGCAGGCAGCTTGATGGGACCACCGGCAGGTCAGTAGGCAGTGAACCGGTCCCAGTAAAGAACCAGTAGGCACCCTACTAAAACCAGCAGAAAACCAGTGGGCACACTGCTGGAACCATTACAACCGCCAGGCAGCCTGCTGCGACCATTAGCAAGCCTGTAGGCACCCTGCTGGAACCAGCAGAAAACCAGTAGGCACACTTCTGGAATCAGTGCAACCAGTAAGAAACTAGCAGCTTAACTGCTGGTTCTATCAAAAGCCACTAACTCCCAGCAGAAAACCAGCAGGAAATTTTCACCTGGGCTGTGCTTGAGAAGCGCGCTGCATGCTTCAATCTGCTTGCCGCTCTCAGCATTACATTCCAAATTTTCGGTATTCATTGCTTCGCCCTTGCAGCGAAACGGACAACCGTGTCGACTCCACCGAGGGGTCGTCAGAGTAGGCGGTGATGGAAACTCGCCGAGACCACTGTGACAACGGATCTTCTGAGGTCGACTCGTCACGCGCTTCAGTCTTTCAGGCTTGGTAGCTTTAGCAAATAATCTATTAGTTCTCCCAACAAGATGGCGCGTTGAACGCAATGCAATGAAGGCGGTAGCGAAAAATTGTAATGTTATAAGAAGTAAGGCTGGCAGCGAACTCTTCTGAATCTGATATCGCGGAATATCTACAAAACGCTGGTGTGAGCAAATACGGCCGCTTTGGGGTGAAGTGCTCTTTTCATACCTTCTCTTGTGTTGAAACCGCACTGATACTCTCCAAGATAGCAAGCGCGCCAGCGATCACGACCACCTTAAAATCCATGTTCATTATTGCTACTCGAGCGATCCCCTCCCCTTCCCTACGTTGTTTCATGCTTGTTCAAGACGGGTGGGTTACTTTGAGCATTCGACGGCAGTTTTAACGCACGGGAGATGTTATCTTCTGCACTTTCCATGCGATAAGGATGGGCCGACTCATTTGCTCTCTGCTTCAGCAGTGCCCGTGCTCTTTTATTTGCTTGTGAAAGTTACGATGTGCGGGGGCATGTTATCAATATAGACTCGTTAAGCAACATGGCAGTGATGGCAAAAACCCGCCGAGAGCCTTCATATTGTTACGAGTAACTTCTTTAATAATCTGTTCACAAGGCACAGAACTCGACGAGCAAGATAGCGCCAGTCCAGCATCAACCAAAAACTAACTTGGTCCTCTTCTTTCATGCAGCCGCGTTTAGCGGCTGTTATTTATCATCGGCGGTAGAAGCACCGACCGGTGCTAAATCTACGCAGATGATGTCGAAGGGGGGTAATAGGGCTTGAGCCGAGCCATGTGAACGGTGTCGCTCAGAGCTGACAATGACTTTGTTGGATCGGTTGGGACAATCTTGTACGTGACGTCTGTGACTTGGCAAACGATATGGAATGGTCCAGTGTAGGGGGACAACGGTTTCTCAGACAGTCCCACACGCCGAGTGGGTGACCAGAGGAGCACGAGAGAACCTGGGGAAAAGTGCACGTCTCTGTGGTGAAAATCGTAGAGCCGTCATTGGTACGCCTGTGAGGCCTGTAAACAATTACGGGCGACTTGGCGCGCGTAATCGGTGCGGGATGATGGCTTCTCCGGCATATTCAGTGGCCGCAGGTAGCAAAGTGTCTAAGGGTAGAGTTGGATCCCGGCCATATAAAAGATAGAAGGGCAAATAGCCGGCAGTGTTGTGACAGGGTGACTTGTAGGTGAACGTCACATTCGGCAAATGAATGTCCCAATCCTGGTGGTCTGGTGCAACGTATTTGGCAAGTATATCAGTTAGGGTCCTGTTGAGGTGCTCTGTGAGGCCATTTGACTGGGGATGGTACGAATTAGTAAATTTGTGCTTGGTATGGCAAGACCTCAGGATTTCGTGAACGACAGCTGATAAGAACGTGCGGCCACGGTCGGTGAGAAGTTGGCGGGGGGCACCGTGCACTAATAATATGTCGTACTGCAGAAAGTCTGCAACGTTAGTAGCGCAACTGGTCGGGAGTGCTCGTGTGATTGTGTACCGTGTCGCGTAGTCTGTGGCAACAGCAATTCATTTATATTTGGCTGGGGAGAGTGGAAAAGGGCCCAACAGGTCGAGACCAACTCGAAAGAAAGGTTCAATGGAAACATTGATCGGCTGAAGGTAGCCGGCTGGGAGGGCAGACGGTGCTTTGCGACACTGGCAAGGGTCACAAGCGGCGACATAGCGTCAAACAGAGCGGGCAAGTCCAGGCCAAAAAAACGGACGTACCTGATCGTATGTGCGAGAAACGCCCAAATGGCCCGTCATGGGAGCGTCATGAAGTTGGTGCAGGACAGCGGAATGCAGGTGCACTCTGGATGACAGGAAGTAAGTCTGATCTGAAGGAATCGAGGTTACGACAGTAAAGGATCCCGTCTTTCACCAAAAACATTCGTAGGGACGGGTCGCGAGGCGTTGACTCCAGTTTGTCAATGATGGCTCGTAAAGACGCATTCCGGCGCTCTTCGCCAGTGTTCAGCAGCTGCGACATGGAAAAAACGTCCACCATAGCATCAGTATCGGTTGCTTCGTCCACAGGGTAGCGGGATAAGTAATCCGCATCCTGATGTAATTGCCCTGTTTTACGCATTACAGAGAACGTGTATTCTTGAAGGCATAGGGCCCAACGAGCGAGACGTCCTGTGGGGTCATTCAGGGAGGCTAGCCAGCAGAGCACATGATGATCCATGACAACACCGAATGAGCGCCCGTACAGGTGTGGACGAAACCTGGCAACCTCCCATACAAGGGCGAGGCACTCGCGCTCCGTGATGGAATAGACTTGCGTAGGCTATAACATGGTCGTGTTCACGTTGGTGCTGCAATAGCGCAGCTCCTATGCCGTGTCCACTGGCGTCTGTGCGAACCTCGGTTGGGGCTGATGGACCCAAGTGAGCCAAGATTAGTAGCATTGTAAGTAGGGTCGTAAGTTGGGAAAACGATGACGCTTGGTCATGGCTGCAGATAAACGAGGCGTCTTTCTTCGAGAGGTCTGGGGGGGGGGGGGGGGTGCAATGGTCGCAAAGTCCTTAACAAAGCGTCGGAAATAGGAGCACAACACCACAAAACTGCGAACACCCTTTGTGGTCCTCAGAACGGGAAAGTTTGTGGCTGCAAGGATTTTCTCTGGGTTTGGACGCACGCCTTGGGCACCGACAAGGTGACCAAGCACGGAAATTTGACGACGAGCGAAGTGGCACTTAGAGGCGTTAAGCTGGAGTCCGGCTCGACGGAAAACGTACAGATTAGCTGATAAACGGTTGAGATGTGAGTCGAATGTGGGCGAAAAGATAGTAACATCGTGAAGGTAACACAAGCAGGTGGACCATTTCAACTCTTGGAACAATGAGTCCATCATTCTTTCAAGTGTAGCTGGCGCATTGCAGAGACCAATGGGCATCACCTTAAACTGATAAACAACACTTCTCGCGGTCCATCTCATCGACGGCTATCTGCCAGTAGCCTGACTGAAGGTCAATAGTTGAAAAAATAAGTAGCACCGTACAGGCAGTCGAGGGCGTCGTCGATGCAAGGCAAAGGATAAGAGTCTTTTTTTCTAATTTTGTTGAGGTGACGGTGATCGACACAAAAGTGCCATGTTCCATCCTTCTTTTAAATAAGGACGACTGGAGAAGCCGAGGGGCTGCATGAAGGCTCGATAATGTTTTTCGCAAGCATGTTCCCGACTTCCTGTTGTATTATTGCACGCTCCGATGCAGAAACACGGTAGAGGCGTCGGTGAATGGGAGTCGCATAGCCAGTACTGACGCGATGGGTGACAATGGTCGTTTGGCTTAAAGATTTGCTGGCAAAGTAAAATATGCTACGATAGCCCTCAAGAACTTGGCAAAGTGCTGCAGCTTGCTCAGACGTGAGGTCCGATGACACCATTCGCTTGATGTCGGCGCCCCAAGAATGTGATGTAGTAGAACCACTGACTGAGCTGCAGCAATCGTCCCCTCTGAAGGGCCCGACATGGTCCTCTTGGAGAGCGGTAATTTTGGCCAGGGAGATACCCTGTGGTAGAACTTGGGTGGTGAGGGAGAAGTTGACCAGTGGAAGGAAGGTGCGGTTTCTCGTAATCGTCAGAATCATATACGGCACAGCAACCCCATGCGAAAGCATCACGGCAGGAATCGGGACCACCATGTAATCATCGTCAGGTGCTGGCAGCGTGGAGGATAAGTCGACATGTGTGACAGAGTTAGGCGGGAGGCACGTGATATCAGTGCAGTAGACGCTGGTTTGGGGTGGGCTTGTCGGGTTGGAAAAGAGAGGTAAATCGAGGTGGAGAGAGCCAGCTGAACAGTCTATGACGGCAGAGCGTGTGGCTAGAAAATCCGAACCAAGAATGAGTTCATGAGGGCAATGTTCAATAA